GGGATTGATCCGGGAGCCGTACTGGCCGCGGGAGCTACCGAGATCGCGAAGCTGGTATCGCGCGAGAAACTTACTGAGGTATTGACAATCTATTATGATGCTTTGGTGAGAGCATTCACGATGGTTGTGGCTATCGTCTCCTTGATGGCTTTACCAGCACTTGGCATGCAATGGAGGACAGTCAAGAGAGGAGGTCCTGGCGGTCCATGTGTTCCTCCCAAATCTGGCGCATAGACTGCAGTGCGCCTATTCATATTGGGGGGGCGTTCAGAAAGGGAAGGACCACTTCTTCCGGAAATGTGCTTAACTGATTATTCTCGATTCTCAGATATTGGGCAATGGAGCGCTTTTCAGAGAGTGTTTTCTCCGCTGCCACAGAGCTGTCTATACCTTCTCGCATTGTAGACTCAGAAAATGCCCTCGCCCTCGAACCTCACAAACATGATTGACTTGTGCACGGCATGTTCGTTGTTGTCCGTTCACCGATGCCTAGCAGAAACTTTGAGCGGTGTTGTTTAGCCGTCGTTGCGCTGACTGTCCCGTCATTGGCACTCATACATTCTGTATACTGTTTCACCTACGTATCTGGCAGATAACCAGACCAAGGGGAGGGGCGAGTGGTGAGCACCGCGTTCCTTCCAAGGTGACGTAACCCGTCAGCCTGTCAGCCCGTCAACCACAACGTTGAAATGAGCTTAGGTTTGCTTTAGTGCGGCTAACCGGCACGCTGGCTGCATCCACCAACTGACTGACTACTGCTACTAGTCGACTTTTAAACGCGGAAAAGCTACCGCTCTCCCCTCCGCCACCCGCTATCGGCCCTGCATCATGGGCACTGCGCTGGGAAGCTGATCCACTTGAAGCCATCTCGACAGAGTGAATGACAGAGTGAATGGAGCAGGAGGCAGTGGAGCTTCTCGCACGATGCCTTCTGCCTTCTGCCTTCTTTGCAAGAGTGTAATGGCAGTGTGGTTCTATTCGAATTGATGATTGATGGCGATGCTGGGGAGAGTATGTGGGGATATGAAGCAGTTTGAAGCCCCGCTGATGGCCTTTCCGTATCTGGGGACCGAGGCCTGGAGAAATCATTGAGTAGTAGTCGGTCTCAACCCCCGAACCAGTCGCACAGTCGCTCCATCTGCCGCTCGATCCACATATTCTGCACCAGAGGAAAGGAACCAAAGACGATCCTCGGTACACACATCCGCCATTACACAAGCTCGGACGACTAATCAACTCATCAAACATGCTTCGTTGGCAAAACTCAATCTTTCCTTTTCTTTGCCGTCATATCCTTCATTTGGGTGCGTATCTTGCTGGCGACTGACGATGAAGAGCGCCCTCCATCAGGATTGCAGGTCGCCACACACGTAGAGTCAACCCCTTCCTGGACCTTGCTTCCCACCGGGCTTTTGTTTTTGAGTTAGACGTTTTTTGCTGCTCTCGGCTCAGATTCATGGAGGTTCCAGAAGCACCAAAGTGGATATCGCCCCCATCGCAACGTCAGGATTCCTCGACAGACACCTCGCCATCTTCTTCAATCTCGGAAAATGCGGACGCACAATATGGAGTTGCCAGTGCTCTGTCGCAAACCGTCACTCCCCAAATCTCGCGTATGTCACGCCCTCCCCTATCAACAAGAGTCACCCCCATGGAGAGCGCAATGACACGGGATCCTTCGTTCGAGGTGGATTGGGAGGATGACGATCCGAACAACCCACGTAACTGGCCAACATGGTACAAGGGCATCATCATCTTCGCCATATCCTTTAGCACATTGGTCGTGTATGTATTCGATTCTGGTCCAACAAGAAACCGATGTTGACCTCCAGTCAGCGTTCTATACTCTACCTCCTACACGTCGGGGATTTATGCATTGCAAGAAGAGTTTGATGTATCCTCCGAGGCCATCGTGACGCTTGGCGTAACGACTTACCTCTTAGGTCTTGCTGTCGGTTCGCTCATACTTGCACCGATCTCGGAAACTTATGGTCGAAAGCCAGTCTATGCCGTTGCCATGATCATCTTCTGCATCTTGGTCATACCGTGTGCCCAAGCAACCAGTATGGCTGAAATTATTGCCGTCAGATTCTTTGGTGCTGTTGCTGGAAGTTCTATGATAGCCAATGCGCCGGGCACGGTTGGCGACATCGTCTCGGACGAGTACCGAGCCTTGGCTTTCAGCATTTGGAGCATTGGACCCTTGAATGGACCGGGTACGCCAATGGACTTTTTTTGGAACGTGAATACTGACTCGTTACAGTCGTCGGCCCGGTCATCGGCGGATTTGTCACAGAGTACCTTGGTTGGCGGTGGGCAAACTGGATTGTACTCATCCTCGGAGGCATTGCCACCGCGCTCATGTGGATCATCAAAGAAACCTATTCTCCTACTCTACTTCAGAAGAAGGCCAGGTTGAGAAGAAAGGAAAGCGGCGAAGAGAGGTACTGGTCGCGCTACGATCAGCGACTGAGCTTCATCGAATTGATGAAGGTCAACCTGAGTAGGCCATTCATCATGGCGATTAAAGAGCCCATCTGCATCTTCTGGAATGTCTACATTGCAATCATCTACGGTAATCTCTCCCTTGCCTATCCCCCGCTCACCCGCCTCCCCTCACTTACATGGCCACACCGACCAGGCATCCTCTACCTCTGCTTCGTCGCCTACCCGATCGTCTTCCAAGGCAGCCGGCACTGGAGCCTCGGCTTCTCCGGCCTCGCATTCACCGGCATCGGAATCGGCAGCATGCTGACCATCTGCCTCGAACCCTTCATCCGACGCATGATCAACCGGCACGCCCCCGAACCCGGCAGCGACCGGCCGCCACCGGAAGCCAGCATCTCCATCGTCTGCATCGCCGCCGTGCTGTGCCCGATCGGCGAGCTCTGGTTCGCGTGGACGTGCGTGCCGGCCTCGATCCACTGGGCCATGCCCATCCTGGCCGGCATCCCCTTCGGCGCCGGCAACACCGCCGTCTTCATCTACGCCTGCAACTACCTCATCCACTCGTACGGCATCTACGCCGCCAGCGCCATGGCGGGCAACTCGCTCGTCCGCAGCCTGTTGGGCGGCACGCTGCCCTTGGCCGGACCGCCCTTGTATGACGCGCTCGGCGCCAACTGGGCCGGCACGCTGCTGGGCGCCTTGGAGATCCTGATCATCCCCATTCCCTTTGTGTTTTATCGCTACGGCGCCAAGATTCGCAGGAGGAGCGCGCTGATTCGCAGGATGAGGGAGGATCAGGAGAGAGGTGAGAGGAAGAGGGCGAAGGCCAAGGAGAAGATTGGCGTGGAGGAGAAGGCGGAGGTGGGAGTGGAGGCCGGGTTGGGGTTATCGGACGCAAGCTTCAAGAAGGAGTATGAGGTTTAGAAAGAATGCATATCGGAGCACGCTTCTGACTGTGGCTGGGAATTGCATAGCATAGCATAGTATAACCCAGCGGGGAGCTCTAGAGATGCTATATATGGATTTTGATTAGGCAAGGTCTACTTACTCAAAACACTGTTTTGTTTACTGGACACGGAATAGAAGCCTGCATATTTCCTTCTTTCCTTCCTACCTACCTACCACTCCCCATCCCACGGCTCCACACCCCCTCATACAACCACGCTTCAGCTTGAGCTAGAGCTTGAGGTCGAGTTTCTCCAATCCCACAGCCCAGCCAAGCCAAGAAGAAAACTTCATCCCCAGAACTCAACGGCCGAGGAGGATACCAGACCAGCCCCGATATCCGTCCCTGTATCGTCCCTTCAACCGACCACTCTTTCCAGAGCATAAAGCGGGGCACCCCACAGATCGACCGGTCATGGCTGGCTTTTTGCTCCGAACCGATCAGGCAGAACGATTCTAGTCAGTTGGTGACTGGGTGAGTTGGGATGAATTTGGGTCTCGATCAGTTTATCTGTCCGCGCGAGAGAGAGAGAGAGAGAGAGAGAGAGAGAGAGAGCGCGCGCTTTTCATTCCCCCCCCTCGGCTTTCCCCAACCCCAAACTCTAGACGAGAAGGGGGCAGGGTTGCATATCTCCATTTCCGCAATCCACACACTTGGAATCTGCCATCTTCCAACTCTTCCGCGCTTCTTCCTTCCTTCCTAAAAGGAAAAAAGCTGGCTGGGTTTTTCGTTCGCCTTGTTCCTTTTTTCTTTGTTTTTTTGTTGTTGTTTTTGCGTCAAGGAGATTCGCTGGAGATGGTTTGCTGGTGGGGAGGGTGGCGGATCCCCTTTAAAACCCAGCTTCATTTGATGACTCTTTCCGGGGCTTTTCGCTTGCGCCTACGGCTGGTAGGCCGGTGTGATTGAGCCGGGGACTGTGGGGGTAGCCGGGCCGGGGGTGGGGGCAGGAACGGCAGCAGCAACAACAACACAAGACGTGGCTGGGAGTACAGCAGCGGCAACACCAGCAGCACCAGTAGCGGTAGCGGTAGCAGCACCCTCGCGTCTTGCTCGCACATGTCTTGATCGATCGTGCATCGTGTCCCCGCTGATTAGTGGGTCACCTCCTGCTATATCACTAACCGTTCGATTTCTTGACGCTGGGCGAACATTTCGTGTGGAATCGACGCTTCCTGTTGCACGAGTACCGGCTTGTCGGGCAATATTGGCTGCTGGAGGAGTACTGCCAGCTGGAGAAATCCCACCTGCCCGAGGAGCTCCTGCACGATATTTCCAGCCGCGAGCCCGAGAACAGTAATCGCCTGTCTGAACACCAGAAGGACCGCCAGCAAGAGGACCACCATAAGGAGAACCACCAGTACTAGAAGGAAGACTGCCTGTTGACTGACCAGTTCCTCGTAAAACTGAAGCGACAGAAGCTCGCGCATTTATGGCTTGGCCTGATGGAAGCTCCTGACCACTGGCTTGTGCAGGAGATGGATTCGACTGGCGGTTGTCCAAGGCCGGTGGTTGATGGGATCTCTGGCCAGCCAGAGGGCGACCGGCAGGATTCTTGTCAGCAAGATGATCATCTGCAACACGTTTATCGTCACCACGACTCTGTGAGCAAGGAACTTCTTCCATGTCACGAGTAAGCCAGTAAGCAACAGAGCCGATGGGGCCAATATCAGGAGTATGAGCAGCACGACCTCCAGTAGCACCGCCCCGCTCTGTTTGCTGGGTGGGAATCAGGAGAGGTCTGTCTGGGGCTTGTCTTCCCTCTCCGTGCCCCGCCATTGGCTGTAGGCAAGTTGCTAGGTAGTGCTCCAGGTCTTTCGTATTGCTAATTCTTTTCCTGATAACACGTACGTATAGCCAAATGTCACTACCAGCCTGAGGATGATCACTTTCCTCGCCAACCCGTCGCCGTAGCTTCTGTCGCAGCCGGGAGAGGCAAGCCTCGGGATTTTCCATGTGCTTCGCTAATACGGTTTGGATTTCGTGGATGTATGAGGGCTGCCATCTTCGCTGTGCCACGGGTTCTGTGGCGCCGTCGCGAATGTGTTGCAATCGCATCTCCATATTAAAAATCCTCTTGAACGTCTTCGCTAGCTTGCCTTGACATTCCTGAAGTGGCTTGTTGCGATAATCTACCACGCGGTTGATTAATGCTTCGAGGGACTTATCAGAGGAAGGTAGCGATAATCCTCTCTCAAACTGCTTTACTCTTTTTCTGGTCCTTGTTAGTTCAGTCTGTAGAGCATGTCTGTATGGATCGTCCTTGATTGTAGAATCAGATTTCTCTTCAGATTGAGCAACTTCTTTCCTAGGACCGGCAGCAGCTGCCCCACTGGCCGGAGCAACATCCTCTGCGCCAGCTAAAGGACTTGCGGCACTTCTCGATGGAGTGCTTCCTCGTCTGATTTGGGGATCAGCTTCGGTGGTATTTCGAGAATTAGCAGCCCTTATCACAGTTTCATGATGAGGGCCCTTTCCGATAGGCTGAGTAGTGGCTCCTCTGTTGAGTTGGCGATTGATTTCGCCCTGGGCTTGAGTTTCGGTCCTTCCTGGGGCTTCGAGACGTGCTATCCCCCTGGCTGATGAGAGGATCCTTTCATTGATTTGGGAAGTGCTTCTACCTTGTGAAATGGCTCTCGCGCCTAATGCCAATACTGCGGCTTGTGTCTCTTCAGAATGCGGAATGCCTGGCTCTCTAGATGCTAGTTGTAGTAGTGCCAGTTTCCCAAGGTCTGTGACAGCAGCTAATGTATCAAACTCTTTGGCTGCACTTGGGGAGGTGCGCTGGGAGGTGCGCTGGGAGGTGCGCTGGGAAGTGCGCCTTTGGGCATCTTCAGACGATCTCGGAGTTGGTCGAGTTCTCAAGTGTGCAGACATGTTATACGGGTAGTCAGTAATCAGAAGCCAGAGTACCTTCTTCTTCTATCTTGGTATAGTCCTCACTACTCTTGGAATAAGTGTATCTAGGAGCCAACCTTCTCGCCTGATTAGAACAAATGTTTTGTGTGGAACAGCTAATGCTCGACTGAGATACCTGCTAAAGATAAGCTGTATCATCCCTCCTACCTACCTTTATCGTGCATTACACATGGTGTCTTGCGGAGACTCATAGTTCAGAGTGATCTTACAATTGCGGAGTGGCGGTTGCGCATGCGAGACTGTTCATGTTAGAGGTAATGTTCGAGACTTGACGGGAGACCTGAGCAGTCTCCCTAATAGTAGATAGGTGAGGGTATGCCAATAGTGCACATGAATCTCGAGGCTGTGTACATGTTCATTGCGCATCTGTGCTGTTTCCTCGATGCTGGTGATGCCGAGTCATGTCCAATCAGGGACTGAACCACGAAGAGGGCATGTTTATTAGTTATTGCATACACGCTGTTTCAGCGCCAGGGAGCTTCTAAACCTAGCTAAGCTTCTTATTGTGGGATGACTAACATGCTGGTTAAGTTACTGCCAACCAATTCCCCTAGTTAGTTAGCAATTTCTTCCCGTACCATACATCCTCTCATTTCGGAAAGTCATAACCACACAACTACTTCCTCGCAGAGCGCTGATATGTTGCTGGTCCCAGCTCCCAGCCCACCCGTCTTGGCAGTCGAGCCTGTTCTTCCGGAGGGTACGGATTGTCAAGGATTAGTAGCAGTGCCCTGATCCCTTCGCAAAAGGTACGAGCCGTTCATTGGAAAACTTGTCCTTCTTTCCAACAATGTATGACGGGCCCGTAGGATCATTGTCGTCAAGATTGTGTACTTGTCTGTGCGTCAACTGTGGGCTTTGGACTTTTATTGAAGTATTTATTTCAAATTTTAAACTGTATTTCTTTTCTCGAGCAGTGACCAATACTTCTTTTACACCTTTCATTGGCAGTTAGGATCTTTCAGTTCATGCCGAGGTATATGCTGTCTCACTACTGCCAGTTGTGGGGCTATTGATGTGCCTCCTGTTTTCTGCAGGTAAACACTGCTTCTTCGTCCGCCATTAGTTCGCGATCATGTCCTGTCGTGTCTTCGACCTTAATGTCAACCATGGGTATATTTCCTACCGTTGTAGGGCTTTCTTAAGTTCGGAGATCTGGATATGCAAGATCCTTCGATCATCGACCGTCTTCCAGAGGAACGGAGCAATGTTTGTCAATCAGCATCACGGCATTGATGGCAGCCAAGCTCAGAGGACCCTTGTTCTGCCCAAGAGCCGAGTGCTGAGTCACGTGCTGTCGCGTAGCTAGCGTGTCAAGGTTGAGAAGAAGAAAGCCAGTGACGTAGATGGCTCGCGGTCAAAGAAGTTCCGTAATCTCAAGATCCTGGATGTTGCAAAGCCTCTCCTGTTTTCCACCAGTGCTGCTGTTGTCACTGAAATCATCTCATATATCTTACCATGCTGCCGGACAGTCTGATCTCAATCAATCAATCATGCATGCCCTGTAAGAAGAGGACTCGCAGAGGATGACCCAAACGCGTCCGCCCCTGCAGCAGCGGCAAAATTCGCTTCGCTGAGGCCAGTATCGGGTAAAGACTTCAAGTCGAAGAGCGTAGCGAAACTTGCCAGTATGCTTACAGAGCTTGATTCGCCTCACACGGGAAATAAAAAATAGGGGTTGTGCAGTATGTAAACGACACCAGCAAGACCATCTCTCGAGCAGGACAAGTCACAACCTCATCGAATGAATCTCACAAAGCCAACGAAGTGAACCGTCACTCTTCTCCCTCCGGCGCCTGCTAGAACACGAACAGACCGCTCCCAAAGCCAATAACGAGAATTATTATGCCGACGAGAAAACCGGAGAGGTAGATAATACTTACAATAATGGCGACGGGATGTGTAGGATGTCGGCTAACGATTTTTCCGAGTGGAAGTGACCCGTCACCCATCAAGGTTATGCGATCGTTTTGCAACTCAAGGGTGAAGCGAGTTAGCATGATTATTTCTCTTCGATCCATAGTCCAAGATGTTCTCTCTCGGGCGTTCCGCAAGGACGGGCATCTTGGGCATTGGTGGCGATCACTACGATCTCATGAACAAGAAGCGGGCTGGAGAGAATGGGGTCCCAGCTCACGTCAATGTCGATCCGGAAAGAATGGAGCTCTGGGCTGGATCACCCGTCGGTTCAGATCTCTGGTGAAAGGTATGCTGCTGCAGTAAGCCATTCACGTATCCATGTACAAGTACAGTCACTTTAGCTGGCAACAACAGGTTTACCATACATCAGTAAGGAAGGATGTCATGACAGGCGGCTATGCATCTTCACTGTCTCGTCTGTGCATCGGTCCTAAGCTTTTTAGTATTCTTGTGCCTCAAACGGGCGCTCAATACAGATCCTGTACAACTTTCTTTCCCATCGAATGCTCGAATTTCTCCCCTCCTCCACATTGGAAAGAGGGATTGAACAAGTAACACAACGTCTTCAAATATTCTTTCCGGGAGGAAGAGGTGGGTTCGACCTCTTAGATCACGTATCCCCCATACCTCTTCAAGCACTGCGATTGTAAAATGCAAGAGCTTGTAAGCCCTCTTCTGGAACGTGCTTCTCTCAGAGTGACGAGGCAAAGCCCAATCAATCAAAGGCCTCGCCCTCTCCCTTTCTCTGAGTGGGTTCAAACACCCATCGTCCATCACCCAGCCCCCTCTGCAAGAGGCCATGGGCACCGTACTAGGTCGGGCTGAACTCTATTTAATCCCAACCCAAACCCACAAACCCTTCTCTAGGGTAGAAAGCTCCAGACATGCATACCGTAAGAGCACCACAACAGCCTCCAGCCATGCCTGAGCTGGAAGCTCAAACCCAGGCCTACACAACCTCCCGAGGCCCGGTGAAACACTAGATGTCACATCTCACACAGATTGTTGGTGTGAAAGAGCGACAGGGAACTCTACCACCGAGCCTCAAGTCTCATTCGGCCCCGATCTAGCTAGAGCAGAGAACCACATCTACCGTGATACTCCTCGTCCTTCATAGGCCCAACCACAACCCCAGGATCTTCTCCCGATGTCAGCGTAGCGACCAGGACTCTTCCGAGCCGATGCCACGCTACGACCAGTCCCGCGTTTCCATCTGTAACAACTTCACGAAATTCACCGAGCAGGCGCAACAGAGCAGAAAAGACGGGAGCCAGGAGAGCCTCCAGGACAACGATAGGAATCAGGAGTAACAACATCGGGATACAGAGGACAAGCTTCAACGGAGTCTGGAGGTAGGGTCGAGTGCGTTGAGGCATGCTCTTACTGTGGGAGCTCTCTTTGAGGTTATGGTGTGGGGTGTTAACGATATCCGAGCTCGTTGTCGCAGTGTAGTGGGGCTGTGTATGAGAAAAGCAATCAAGAAGGAGTGGTTGAGACTCGTCGATTTCCGTACTTTCTTGCTGACAGCGAGCGCTGGGGCTAGAGTCAGGGCGGGAGCTGCTTGCATGATTTGGTTCCAAGGTCGGGGTATCCTGCCCAACGCTTGAAGTCGATACCGACATGGCGAGGCGAGCAGGGGCAATACTCGCTGTGCCAGGGACAGTACTCGCGGTGCCAGGGGCAGTACTCGATGTGCCAGAGGCAGTACTCGCAGTGCCAGGGGCAGGGGCGGGAGCAAGAGCAGGTACAGGAGCAGGGGCGGATCCTTGCGATATCAAAACAGGCGGGGTTGGCACTGGCACCCATGGAATCGCCGCTGGTAGTTCCTCCAGGAGTACTTTTATTGAAGCCTTGGTCAGGCGCGGCATATCGTGCCTAGCACTATTGTGTAAAGTGAGGAGCCGCACATCCACTTCGAATCGCACCTTCTTGACGTAGGCCATTCTGTCAAGCCTGCGGTTACCTCGCAATGAGAGCTGAAACCCGTTGATAGGGCTGCTAGGAGCGAGGGGCAGGTAGTTATTCAATACTGATTCGTCTCTAGGTCGGGATGTAAGCTTCGACACACGCCCCGTTCAGCGATCGTCAGCGCAGATTCTTGCAAATAGGGACAAGATCCGAGCGTGAGAAATAGGAAAACGAGACATACCGGAGCAACTTGAACAATCCGTCCATTGACCGGATGTCGGTAGAAGCCCGCAACCACACAAGGACGATCATAAACCCAGCTGTCCATCTGTAGACCCCCGCTCAGGGAAGGGTAGACTCGATCGACAGAAGCCTTTTTGCGCATTCGCAAGACACATCCTTCTGAGAATTGACCCCATTGGGCTGATGGACGTGAGTGATACGATTGGACTTCTGGTGAAGAGCTTGAGAGTTGAGGAGGAGCCGCCATTAAGCTCAAAGAGGCTGACAGTGACGAAAGACTTAAGAGTCTTTCGCCAAGGTCAAGATCTCATACGGAGGACGGAGGAAAGAAAAAGGGAAGCACACGTAATAATTTCCGAATGAAACGCGGGCAGTTCTGACCCAAGAGAGGGATTGGCACGGCGGACTATTGTTGGGTTGCCTCACCTTAAAATCTCTAAGCGGCTTTGTAGAGATTCACTCAAGTCTGCTCTTACAGCAAATATCATCAGTTCTCTACAAGTATAATTAACAACTATATCTTAAGCTGATATAGGTATAATATGAGACATTTATTACGATGCATTACTGTTAGAAGGATGCCTCTAAGTGGGTCTCCAAGAAGGGTGTCCTACTAGTAGAAGGGTGTCGTAAGAGGGGGCTCTGAGAGGGTGTTTCAGCAGGTACTCAAGAGAACATCCCACAAGGATGTCCTATATCATGACAAAGGTGACAATAGCAGTTTCATAGTAGCGATTCTATAGAAATGCCAGGTAGCTTTCGGTTGTGGATGGCCTAATAAAACTACGTAGTCTGCCATAAGCGCCTGGGATAAAACTGATTAGCAAACATGTAAGGGCCTCCGGGCGCTAAGAACGGAGAAGTGCCACTCTTGACAGCGTGTCACTGTAGAAAGGGTGGGAACGTAAAACTACAGAGGATCCACAGGCATACCCAAGAGGTTGTATTGTGCAGAAACTAAGTTTAAAAAGCAATCTCGAAGTTAGATTTTATGTTAAGAGATTTTCTTTCTCGATCAAGAGAAATAACAGTGGAATTAAGCGCAAAAACAGTAAAAGCAAACAAAAACAGACAAAAGCAGATCTAAGTGATAACACAATCAAGAGCAAAAGGTATACTGTCAGTGACGTCAGAAATGGTGAAACACAAAACTACGGAGGATCTACAGACATACCCAGAAGGTTGTATTGTGCAAAAACTAAGTTAGAAAGCAATCTCGGAGCTGGGTTTGATACTAGTAACAGCAAATGCAAACTCACCAAGTGTACAAGCTCACTATACGTTGATACTGTACTGCGAAAATGAACTGGCGTAAAATCGAGTGTCATTGTCTGATGTGATGGCAGCTGCCTTGCTGCCTCTAATGACCTTATGTGCCCACAACAGCATGTAGAAACTGATTGGGCTCACAGCCAGCCATGATTCGGCCATGATCCTATCGAAATCGACCGAAGAGTCTACCTATACGTTCTCGTATATCACCGCTGAGGCTTAATTAGAGCCTTTGTTAGGCTTTGCGCTTGCCTTCTGAAGGCTGTGTTTTTAATCGATATCCTGATAGACTGTCATCCGGGATTGGACTTCGCTGGAGAGAACTGTCTGGCGTTCCATCGAGGATGTCGCGGACACTGGTAAGACTTGGCGTAGAGGCCCTAGGGGTGGCAGGGATTTCTATAGTTGTTGCGGCAGGGATGCCAAGGAGGTGATATATCTGCAGAAGCATAGCCAGAATCATGATATCGAGTAGCAGGTTGTGGGAGTTTGATATATGCATCACCGAGCTTGCAGGTGATATCCACTCCGGTAGCAAGCCCGACATCTTGTGCATGGGTCCGTTCCCGGATATCTTCCAGTGTATCTAGGAGAGGGATCACGTATCCATCTCCGAGGACATCAGATGCGACTAGGTGCCCATACACCTCCAGTGTGTGGTACTCGACAACCCATCCCCCAGAGTCGCCTCTTTTGATATCTGGAGCCGTTGATCAGTTGCGACTGTCGTTAGAACCAGGAGAGGACTTACGGGCTCCTTCGTTCATCTTGAGTGGGAAAGCCTTCACAAATCCTACACTGCGGTTCAACCACACCGAACACGGTAGATAGTCTAGAGTGCCGGTCTGACAACATTCGCCGTAAGTATTTAGCGCCACATGACGGCTCCTCGAGAGTTCCATCTTCTCCGGACTGGGCGCAAGCAAGTCGGCTTCACGAAGCTTGCTAAGAGTAGTGGACCTCAAGCGGTTTGGTCGCAAGTTGGCGTTCTTGTTGATAGTGACAAGAGCCCAGTCGTGACGCGGGCCTCGGCTGGGTTGATCCGATGGCAAGTCACCTGTTGAAGCATGGACCTGGCCTAAAGGGCACCAGCCCTTAACATTAGAAGGCTCGGCCTCCTCTTCAATGGCGCATTTCGTAGGCGATGAGGGTACGTCTGCGACAGAATCTGTATGTTGATAATAATCATTCTCATCGTCATCGTCTGTAGAGTCAGTACTGTTTCCATCGTCGCTCCGCGTGTCAGATATTGTGTCCGCTTCATCTATCGAGGAGCTAGATAGCGGGCCTAGTAGATGCGCCGCTGTGAGGCCGTAGATCCCATAGTCTCCTTGTTCGCGCGTGATTTTAATAAGGCCACCAAGGGTGCCGCATCGGTTTCCATCAGGCTGTGATAGTAGAATAGGAACACCGCTTAAGGTATTGACAGCGAAATCGTAGTCCGTCAACACGTCCACCAAGGAGCCGCTCGTTAGTTGAAGTCTGTGAGCGAGGACAAGAACGTCGAAGCAGGCTGCTCCAAGCTCTTGAGGCTGACATAGGTCGCGAGCAAAGCGCTTGTTGAAGAATCGACGCACGTAACGTTCACGCTTTTCATGGCAAAACACGACTATCCAGGGTTTTGCGCAATCTGCGTTCTGGCCCAGGACCATGAGTCTCATGCTCATAGGTGAATGGGTTCGGTAGTGCTTCTGGATGTATTCAACTAGTGATACTTCCAGTTGGACAGCTATCCGCTTGTACTGCTCGATCGTGTCATTCGACACTGCCTGGTCGAACTCCAGTAATTTGCCATGCTTAAAGGTTCCCGGCAGTGATCGGCTGTTGCTTGGAGTTTGATCGGAACGCGAAGCAGACAGGTGCTGCTTCTCGATGGACTTGGGCGTCGTGCTCGCTCCTGTCGCATATCCGGAATCGACGTCGACAGGATCATCGAACCCGGCCCGATCCAAAACCCCTGTCAGGCTCAGCTTCTTACTAAGCGTCGAACTACAAGTCAAGGATGTAGTCGGGCCTTGCATTAAGGGGCCAACACGGTCAACGGCCGCGAGATTCATTGATAATGTTGCAACCTGATTCAAGGCTGTCGAGGTGGTGCGCAGAGAAGGTATGGAATATATGTAGGGCGCCAGTGGACGTTGCTGTATTGAATGACACAGCAGTGCACTGCCCCCGGGGATTTGAGCACCGTAGGCCCGGAGCCCTTGCCACAGGCTAATGCAGCTCGATACAAGAGTCGAAGCGGAATAGTCCAATCAAGCTGCAGATGTCGTCCCCGTCCACGAACTTTGGGACATCGCCTCGCTCATAACTGACCGAAGAGGTTTGGATGCCCATACGACCCGATTGTGATTTTTTTCTTCTGTCTCTGCATTTTATGAGCCGACTCGGAACTTCATAGAGATGATGCTCCATAACCAACCATTCCCGTTGAGCAGTTGTTCTGACCGCGACTTGCATCATCTGTGCGAGTGCCTCTGGAGGTGGGAGATCTGCGTGGATTGCAAGGCTGGCACCGACACCTTGAGGCATAATCCCTCATGTCCGTGGCCCACAAGGGCAGCAAAATTATCGAGGTTCTTCGAGTATTACAAGGTCGTTACGAGATCATACATACCAGAGTTACTGCCAGGAGACTGCCCAGCACTTCGAAGCCACGATGACTTATTTCATCTCATCTCGGCTCTCAAAGAGAAGGCCGACATACCTCGTGGCGAGCTCACGAAGTCGCACTTCGACGGCCCCCATGTCAACAAGGGCAATCCTCCGCCACAATCGGATCAGAATAGGGCCGTGGATCTGGCTGTTAGGGTGATGTTGATGATCAATTGTGCGGTTGATGATCAATCACTCGGTCTACTTGAGTCGGGAGTCGCGCCACTAACATGGCGCAATGATGAGACGCTGTGTCAATTTCTAAAGAAGATCTTCCCACAAGAACAATACCAAATCCTCGACGCGAAGACGGATGGCAAAAGGTCTCCGGGCATCAAGACACTGTTGACGGCATCGAGACTCAAGTCTATCGCCAGACTGACTATCGAGCCCACGAATGACATACGCGACCATCTTCGGCTAACTCAGAGAACGGGAGTCGTCCTGATCTACCACCATGTTGGATTCTTGATTGAAAGTCTCACTTCAGGCCACCCTTCGTCGCCCGTGGGAAGCTTGGAACAGGAAATACGAAGGTGAGCCCGATCACTGTGTATAAGGGGAATTAGTGCTAATTGGGCAGGGGCAACATTCCCCGCCAGCTAGCCTTGGAAACGCTCGATTCCTTGCAGAGAGTCCTGTTCCCAGCTGATATCAATTCGCGACAGCTATTGCGCACTCTTGTTGCCAAGTCCTCGTTTGACCCAGCATGTTTGAGCCTGGACTGGACCACTTACCGCAGCGAGAACGAGCAAGAAGTTGAATATAGGTATCTGAGCGCTCGACTCATGGACCTGTACGAAGAGATTCTTAACCCTAGACCCCGTAGCACTCTTGAAAAGTGGGCAGAGCGGCGTAGCGGAGCGAGACACGTCATGATTGCAATTCTTGTCGGTGTCATTATTGCCATCATTCTGGGCTTACTTGCACTCATGGTGTCGGTTTTTCAAGCTTGGATAGCTTATCAAGCCTGGAAGCATCCTGTAGCGAACCCCTAACAATCGTATGGGAGTCTACGCACACGTGTTAATCTCTGCGGCGTAGATTCTTCGAGCATCCGAGCGGAGAATACTTACGCCCAACAGCTCTGTGAAGGGAAGGGACGTCGCGAATCATGTAAGCCAATAATATCCTGTGCAGCAGGTAGAAGAAATGGCTCTGTTCGTTCAAAAAAGCTGCGCAGGGCGCAGAAATAAGTACAAATCCGCTGTACGGCACTGCGAAATTAGCTGCGAAATTGCAGCAGAAATTGACCAATAAAACGCAGGCGAAACGCAGGGGTTTCGCGTAGAAAATCCAACCAATGAGCGCTTCTGCCGTTTGACATATCCCATTCCCAGATAGATTGATCTCTGCTTCGATGCAGTATCTGGGCATTTGTTCGCTGACTTGCGCATTGACCCTTGAACTGCATCTGGATCGGTCGAAGGGAGCGTAAACAATACTTCCGGCCTATCATATCTCTAAGCTGACCAGTCCAGGTTGAATAAGGCAGCATCCGTAGTACGTAGTACGTTACTTCCTCGATGCCTCGGTCGTTGGAAGTGACCGCGCTTGCCGTTAACTTAGGCGGTAGGCCGAAACTTAGTTGAAAAAGCCTTGCGCGCCCCAACTGGAACAAGTCGCCTGAAATTGCCGCACCGCCTGGCTAGGCCCCTTTGCGCTCGGCTGAGCGCTCCGCCATATCCTAGGCTGACTCGGGATCTGCTGCGGATCGTGTTGCCGCGTGCGCACTCAACTCTCTCTGAACGCAACTCTGCTGACGTACAGGAAGGGTCGACAACGAGCACAGGCTTGTCAGTTCCCCCCGCCCTTCTTCAATATCCTTATTGGCGGGTGACCTAGGCGACGAGTCTGCTGGTGTCCCCCCTACCGCAAGACAGAACTCTACAGTTGATGTCTACCTCACCGTGTACAGCAGACTTGATGCTACTGTATATTACTCCCAAAAATTCTTGCTCATGGCTTTTTCAAGGGTCCTGTGTTCTAGATCGCGACTCCAGTAGGCCCTGGACTGGGGCCTCATGTCTTCAAAAAGGTCACTATGTGAGGGGGCGGGCTGTAGGAAGTTGATGGGGCTATCTATCTGTCCACTCTATACTGGGTAGACGGAAGGTCCTGTAATAGGGCCATAATGCCAAACGGGTAGAGATCAGGTTATTCGACTAAAGCTTTCCAGGAACAAGTCCTGAGTAGTGGTGGTGTGTCCTGGGCGAGGCTGAGCCGGAATTGAGTTGTCTCAGTCCAGTCAGTGGTGATACATCAATTAAGTGTGGTTCGAAACCCACAAGCGCTGTCTCTTTAGTGGAGTGGTTGATGTGTCCCTTTTCTAGTCCCTCAGCCGTACTATGTGGCTTACGATGACTAGGTTAAAGTGTGCCAGCACGTCCGAGTTGAGGAATTCATACGAGAATCTGGCGGGTGCACGGAGGATATGTCACTCTCTGCAATCTTTACTGCCCCCCGAGGTAACAGCAGGAGATATCCAATGGTTGTGAATGCTTCCGTTGCTATTAGAACAATCATATGTAGAGCCTCTTCTATAATCGTATATCATATCCTCTAATTTGTAAGCTTTCCTGCAAGCGGAAACACAAATTCAAGCCTTCAGTAGACAACTGGTCTGCTCTATAACTCATCTTTCTTCTTTCGATCGGGCTTCCGCTCTTGTATGACTTCCTCAGGGCCAGCTGCTTGAGCTGAAGCTTCCGCTTCCGCTCTTTTCACAGCTTCCATGACCTGAGCCACCTCCTCATCATAGACAGTCCACTCGGGAACCTGCCTTCTCGCCCGGTCCAATTTCGGCTCCTTGGTCAACGGGTTGTTGCACAGATCGATGGTTTTTGCACTCTGCAACGCCTCATCACTACACCATGTCTCGCACCACAGCCACTCCTGCGGCAGGCTATAGATTGGCAAGTTATATTGCATGTGGTTCGGAAGATCCTGGTCGAGATTGCTCAAACTCCCCGGATCAGCACTCAGGGCATGGTATTGCTGCCTTAACCTATCGCCAGCGGCTAACTCGCGGAATTTCTTGAGGTCGACCACATACAGCGCCGAGATGTGGTAAGGCTTTCCCTGGAGGTAATTCTTCCAGTAACCTTGTTTCCAGAAGCGGAAGCCCTCCATCTCTTCGCGAGAATCACACATTGGAGTGAAGCCGTAGGGAGCACCATGAAGGTCAACGCGATTGAGGTTCATCATATCGGTGCGAACAATCTGGTCGGCATCAACGAATATGACTTTGTCCAGATGAAGGGGAAAGAGGACGTCAAGAAATAGAATCTTATAGCCCCAGATTTCACGCTGCTTTTCTTTTTGGCTGCGTAGCCAGTGAGGCCACTTGTAAGTGACCATTTCGTACTGGAAGTTGTAGTGGGCGGCCAAGTGTGGAAGGAAGGATTTGAAGGACGGGGAAAGGAATTGTTCAATGAACCAGAACTTGACGCTATGAGTGGTGTGCTTCATGACAGAGAGGATCATGATGTTCAGCATGCGTTCGTAAAGGTGACCAGATGCCACGGAGAAGATGTTAATGTCTGCGTTAGCGGACGAGGAGGACTTAGAAAGTCCAACCGATGTCAGAGCCGATGATGCGAAAGATGCGCCACGACTGAGGTAATCCATCGCTGACCTAGCCTTAGAACCGGAGTCCAGCACATCTTCAGTCTCCATGCCGGGCTTTCGAGAAAGACGTGGGTAGAGGGTTGCACCGTGAAACGAGTACAGTGCAACAGACGTGTCCAGGTCTCCAGGCTGCGGAGAATACCCTTTGCTACCTACGGAATCAATGGTGTAAACTCTTGAAGAGCGGCCAGGCATCAAAGAAATATGCCAGTAGCCCGGGTTTGCCTTGAACTGGAAATATCCAAGATTCGCCATGATGATTGTGTCTGCGAAATGTGGTTGTTTCTCAGTACCAAGTAGTAGCTGAACACCCCTTGGTGGGGAACCAGTTCCAGTGTCACGGGAGTGCCCTTCGATCAAAATGTGTTCTAGCTCGTAGATTGCATCAATGTTCTGATCTTTTGGCACAGAGCTCAACTTGATATTATCAAGGTCATAATCACAAACTTGAGGTGCAACAAGCCAAGCAGCTGGCACATGCATGCCCAGATTGAGCAAAGCCTCCTCTGGGATAGCTGTGAAAGTTGCTTGGGGTCGCCGTAAGGCACCACTGTTGTCGAACATGGGAGCAGAGTCGAGGACCTGGCGATAGAACCTCTTGATTGGGAGCTCGAGCACTTGCTCTCGCGGGTTCAGGAAGATCTTGAGGTCAACGCCATGTAGCTGGGAAAGTGTCCTGAGTATAGGTATCCACGGTTGTACTACCTCAGAAGCGGGATCAATGGCTGCCACTATTTGAATTGCTGGATCGTCTGATGTTGAGACATGGATTGCGGAGTGGGTGCTGTTCCACAGATTGAAGTTGTCTATCCTGATCAATGGCGGACTTTCAAATATGCCCTCTGGTAAATCAGACACATGTGCTCGCGCGACTAACGATGTGACTTTCGCGAGGTCAAGCGGTTTCACGACGTTACTTTCCCACCCTAAATCTCTCACGGCAGATACGACGTGGTTGATGCGTTGCTGCCGTTCGAAGTTCAGTAGTAGGTCGAAATCCTCCTTCAGAAATAGCGTCCCGTCTTTGATGGGTCCAACATATCTGCCGTTGAGCAAAATCCCACTAGCTCCGTGCTCAATTCCTATTGCGTCTGCCAGGCGTTGCGTTACACTCCAGTAGTCATCAGCACGTTGTGCCATTGCCTGAGTTGGCTGGGTCCAATCACTACCAGACACTATATCGAGCAAATTTTCTGGCGATATCTCTTTGCCCTCTTTCAGTAGATGATAAAGCTGGAAAGGGAGTCCAGATGTAGGCCGAGATGATGTCGGATTATGAAGGATGACGAAGTCAACGCCTGGCTCTCCTTTCCGGAACTCGATTGCCTCTTTGAGCAGCTGCTTACCAGGGTCGGACTCGAAATCAGCGACCAATAAGAGATGAGCCCGAGCTTCAAAATCAGAGTCTGGACTCGCAGATATTCGAGGTATATCATCGAGCACATCAAAATGATCTCGCGCCAATTTGCTAACGTCTAGTACCGATATTGAGTCTAACTTCTCCGGCGTAATCAGAGCATTTCTGCTAGAAGAAGCTTGGAAAAGAAAATATTCTGGTATCCAGGATTCTTCGTTGAAGGCATCTTCCATAATTGCTCGCTGGATTGCTCGTAAATCCATCGAAACTCTGGCACTCATTGCCTCGAGCCAATTCTCATTGCGAGGCAGCGCAACTCCATTGATCAATATCGATGTAACTTCATTCCCTAATTCCAGCCTTGACAGATAGCTTTTGACAGCCTGGAGTCTTTGCTCGAGAGGATCGGAGGTCAATAAAGCATCGAGTCCAAGCACTTCTCTCTCGTTGCGAGGCTTCCGGCCTTCAATTGCAGCGGCAAAGCTAGCCTTTGTTGCTGTAGAAGGCTTCTTGGCCGTCACTTGCTCCTCGAAATATGCGAACAGGGAACTCAACCCATAGGTCTCCAACAAGTGGTAGGCGATTTTTGCTTGGGCTGCGGAATCTGGTGATGACAGAAGAGGTACAAGACCAAATCTGACCGGAATTGTCCTTTTCACGAAGCTTTGCAGAGTCTCAACGACCAACTGAAGGTCTTTAGAATCGGCAAAATTTACAGGAATAATAAGATTGTGGATATCCCGACGCGCAGTTGGCAGCTGACCTGGAAACGTTCTCTGTAGAAGAGCCGTCAGTTGAGATGGCCAAATTTGATATCGCTTATCCTTCTCAATGTTATTGAGCCACATAATGACATTGCTGCCTTCAGTCTGGTCCCGCCAGTCATACCTTTGAGGCTCCTTTTCCACCTGAGCTTGAGCAATATCTTTGTGTGAGAGAAGTTTGATTGCTTGAGACGCAGTGAAGCCAAGATCGCGGAGATTGTTGATCAGTGCCCTTTCCCGTCTCAGGTGATCGAGGAGACCGAAAGGGTTCAAAGACCGAGTATCCACCTGCACGCCATTGATCCATACAATACTATATCCTTGTGGCAGAAATACAGCACGGTTGGTTCTATATTCGTTAAGAAACGTTTCGCTGGTGTTGTGGCTTGCAATCATCGCCGAATATCGTGGGAAATCAGCGGATACCTTGAGTAGCGTATCTAGTTGATCATCACTAGACATCACGAAGCTTGCCGTGTTGAGGCCAAGAGTTGAGAGCTCTGAAGTAGTGAGGGGCTTCAGGTCCGCTGGGCCTTCATCTGAGAGGTCTTTGTCAGATATTGGCTTTTGCACCTCCTCATCGTCCTGTCCTGCTTTGCGGTCATCGATTACGATATAATCTGTCCTCTTGAGCGCGAGTTCTACCCCGTACCCGTTCAAGAACAAGGGGCTAGTGTCCGTAGACGGTCGATAGCGGACTCGATACGAGCTCTTACCCTGCTTTGCAGTCCTACTCACAGTCTCGTGGAATTGCCCAAATAGTGGATGGGTAATATCCGCATAAAGGATGGAGGGAGGACCTTCTGATACGTCTCCCAAGACACGATCAAATGGTAATTGGTCGGCCAAACCATCTATGGGCATGTCTTGTTGTGCCCGTTCAAGGGACGGAGAGCAGTATTGCTTGTCGTCAAAATGTACCCAAACAGGACAGGCAGCGTCCTGCGCTGCCATCATGCTAGGTTGCACAGAGGTGTTATAATATTGGTAATGCGCTTCGATGCGAGGTGCCACAGAACGTATCGCAAGTGCAAATTTGAATGAGGCAACAGCTTCTGGATCTGAGATGTGTCCGTCATCTTCCAACAATTTGAGGAACCTCTCGTAAAGAGCCTGCTCGGTGTCGAGTTCGGTAAAGATGCCCTCCGCGACTCTGTCAAGAAGTGGAAAGAAAGAAGTCGAGTTCTCCTCGGCGGCAGTTTCTCTACCTTCAATTAGCTGCGCGAAGGGGTTCGAAGGTATCATTCTCACAGTAATTCGAGAAGATAAGGACCAGCATCGAAGGAAGCTTTCAGTGCAACATTGATAGACGGTCCGGCCAGGATCCGCATGCAAAAACAAGACAAGAAGACCCATATGCTGGATTTCCGCCGCCACGGAAATGCAAGGTGTGTGAACAGCTCCATTTTGTGGACTCGCCTATGGGTAAAGCGTATATCGTAGACTTCTCACACTTCCATTCAATCAGCAGTGATTGTTGGATTCGGCTTCTACCATGAGATGTCTTTGACAGCTTCCCAGAGGGGAGGTTTCCAACTGCTGTTTACAGCGTTTAGAGACCATCGTGTCCTCGACCAGGATGCTCATTCCGAACGAAATATTGCTTGGCAGGGGTTCAAGGCTGACGGAACTTGAAGATCAAGATCGACGTCACTTGAAGGAGCGTGTCGTTCTATTTTTCTACGTTTCCCAACAGCACGTTCAGGGGGGCTAATCCTATACTCTTTCCCAGCAGCACGGGATATGAGGCCAAGCCATATATGCAACGCCTGCATCTCGCGATCAGTGCAATACCCTTCTCACAGTGTGGTGCAGTTTCGCAACTCTGCCGATAGATTCCCGAGAAAAAGTCTGCGTCAGATAACAACTCAAACTGGCAAGCCAAAGCACCTCGCCAGCGCAGCAACCAACAATGCACAGAGAGGTCAGAAGTGGGCACATGCTTCGGTAGCGAGTGAAAGAGCTCCTCGACTTCCTGCGGGCGCCTCGCAAGAAGCTCTCACAGCTTCACCACCACAGCACCTTATATCCACCACGCCACATCCCGAGAATAACCTCTCCTCCACGCGCCCAGCTCGCTTGGATTCCCCAGAAGGTCCGATCAAAGACGAAGGCGGAGCAATAACGCTCAAAAACCGCGCATCATATCTCTTCCAGCTCGGCAAGGCGTATGCCAGATTCTACAAAACCGGGCTCAAGAATATCTGGTCCAACTACAAGGAATACCGAGACCTCCGCAGGAAACTCGGCGGCGCTGAGATTCATGACCTGGTCAGATATGCATCTACGCCAGCGATTACGCGGCGAGAATTCCAACTCCATCTTCGGACCCAACACGATCTCAAGAAATTGATACCATTCGGATTGGTCTTCGCCATCTGTGGCGAGTTCACGCCGCTGGTGATAGTGGCGTTGGGCACCGCGGTCGTGCCATACACATGCCGCATACCGAAGCAGGTCAAGAAGGATCTACAGAAGGCGCTATCTCGCACTGAAGACGTCGAGCGCCTCAGCCCACAAAAAACCGAGGTCGGCATTACTCCCGCTCTCGGATACGCCCACGGCGTAGATCCTCTCGGTTTATCCATCCGAGAAACGCCAGTGCTCGGTTCGTTACTGCAGCGTTTCTGGGTGGAGCCGAAACTCAAGCAGCGCATGGACCACATAATCTGCGATGCCAAACTGATCAACCACGAGGGCGGAGCCGCGCGTCTCGAACCAGAAGAGCTCTACCAGTTCTGTGTCGATATCCGACAACTCGACGCCATGAAGCGCATGGTCGACTATTACACGCACGACAGACAGTCAGACATACCCGATCCAGACGTGAAGCATACGCAGAAAGAGCTGCAGGTCTTCCTTGATTCAATTGGTCGAAAACTGACAAATTTGAAGAGCCCGGCTGATTATAACCCCGAATCCATCTTCGTGGCTGCAGCCAAATATGTTCGCTCCCGTGGGCAGGAAGGACCGTATATCCCGCCACAGACATTACGGAGATCGAATATCGGAGATAAGTAGCGGTTCAGGACAAGTAGTTAGATAATAAAGCTCGATCATCCGCAGCTTGCCAGAGCTGTCACGAGCCATGGCATGAGAATAGACAGCTTAGAGACCAAGCCTCAAGTGCTAAACGCTCGTTGTCTCTCCACTCATCCGTGAATCCGCTGCTCAATTAGCCACGGTAGTTTCCTCTTCATAGAGTAATAGTTCATCATCCTTCATGAAAGCACTTACCAACCGTTCTGATCCGTTACATGTAGACCTTACCCTCCCCTCCCTCCCCCATCCACTCACCACTCCTCCTCCTCCTCGTCACTACTACTAACGTCAAAAACTTCCTTCTTCTTCTTCTTCGTCCCCCTTTTCCTGCTCCTCCCCCCCTCAGCTGTCCCATTCCCACTCCCATATGCACCATCCTCACCACTCTTCCGCCCCACGTTCACATTCCGCAGCTTCAGCTTCATCTCCCGCTCCCGCTCCCGGTCCTGCCTGAACGATCTCACTTTCCGAGCTGAAGCCTCCAGGTTGGCGAAAAAGTCACCTTGAGCCGCATCGACCATGGACTGGTCGCCGTCAACACCGGAATCAGTACCATGGCCAGTACCAGTGTTACTCTCATCGGGTCCGCCGTCATTGCTATCGGATTCATCGGGGAAAATGGTTGGTGCGTCTCCTGATGAGGAGGAAGCTTCGGATCGCGCAGCAGGGTCGTGGTCTGGGAGAGCGCTGGTGAACATTTCGGGTGGTGGTTCGTCGTCTTCTTCGGCTTCTTCGGTGTCTGATCCGTTGGCATTGTGTGCCTGTCTCGCTGTATTGGGAAGAGGAAGAGGAAGTGGGGCACTGCTGAACATTAGAGGGGGTTCCTCTTCTTCAGACTCTTCGGACCCTGATTCGACGGCTTCTAAATCCTTCTGTACTCCCGTTGCGACGCTGCTGAACATCTGAGGTGGTTGCTCATCATCATCTGATGACTGAGATTCTGAATCTGATGCTGTTTCGGACTCGACTCCATCTGGAGGTGGAGCTGCGCTACTGAACATCTCGGGAGGCCGTTCCTCATTTGAATCTTCAGCTTCACTATCGTAGTTAGAAAACTCCACTACCCGGTGCTCCCTGGGTTCCTGCTGCTGCTGGGCTTGACTGTCGTCCTCCTCTTCCGGCTCCAAAACAGAAAGCTCTTCTTCCAGCAACGGCCTCGGTTGTATTTGAATCTTGGGAGAGGGCTGATCTTCTCTTGAGTGCATGCTCGGAGTGGAGCGACCTGCCGTTCTGGCTGATGTAGGTGCTTGGGTGTTATTGAATGCTTGACTGAGCGTTGTTACTTGTCGCGGAGTTCTCTTTGAGATTGATGGAAGCCGAGGTGTTTTTGGCGTCTGGGATGATCTTAGCGGAACTGCTTCGCTTTCTATTGGAAGGTTCGTTCGATTATGGCTGGGGGGCTGATCAGACTCATGGTTCCGCCTATTCACTGCTTGAAAAGAGCCATTCAAGGTTGTCTGCTGCTCTGGAAAGTGCTTCGATGAAGCTGGAGGTGGTATCAATACCTCAATCAATCTTTTCCGTTGTGGCCTTTTTGATGATGAATCGATTTCGCCGTTATTGTCACTTCGGTCCTCATCTTCATCTTCGTGGGATCTTTCTTGCTTTTCTGTATCTGCCTCTTCTACACCATCTTGGTCTTGTTCTGACTCGGTACCTTGGCTGGACGTCATCGAATGTGCCTCTAAACTGGACTTTTGATTGACATTCTTCAATTGTGTATTGCCGACTGAAACGTTGTTCTCTTCATCAGAATCCGTGACATACATAGCACTTTTGATCTTCCTTCGAGGTGTTATGACCTCCACTGACTTGCCGTCTCTCGTGGCTGTACGACGAGTTTGATGCCGGGCTTTAGCAGGCTCTGGTTTGCTGCGTCCGGAAGGCAAGGGTTTTATATCCTGTCCGCGTGCCTTTGCTTCCTCCCTCGGCCTGTACACCCTCTTCCAGAAAGTAGAACATTGCTGTGCATTTCTCGTCTTCCCTAGTCGATCACTGACCGCTGTCCAGTTTACCTTGTCGTCAGATGAAAAGTCCAGTGGCACTTTCGCAGCAGTCTTGCATTCTCGCACCGCCATGATCAACGCTTCTTTCTCACCTTCTTCCCAACGCTCAAATCTTTGCGCATCTCCTTGCCTAATCCTGTTTTTCCATTTCTGGTAAACAGAATCCTGGGTTCGACCTAATATTTCTGCGATCTCAACCCATTTCCTTCCCTTTTCCTGGACCAAATTCCTTAAGTCATTGATCTGCTCTTCGGTCCATTCGGTGTCCTGCTCCACGTTCTGAAAGTAGCGCTCACGGTACCTGTTCAGGGACTTTCTAGATCGATCCGGCAGCACATCGTAGAACATGCCTCGAAGCTCTGCCCTTGTCACGTCAGGATTAGGCCACTCACTTCCATCACGCCGGCCAAGCAGGGTCATAAGCGTATTAAAGTCAAATTCAGAGACCGAGTAATCGTTGCAGATACGCCGCTTAAATCGAGTCAGCTTAGCCTTCTCCTTGTCGGTGAAGGGGCCTGTTGCAGGGCCAACCCTGGACTTGTGACCAGAATCCCTTTGATGCCTTTTCAGATCATCCTCTCGGAAGAAGCCTTCTGTGCATTCACATGTATGCCTCTTCTTGTGTACGTTGGGATTCCTCATGTGACGCGTAAGATGCTGTTGGTTTCGGAACTGCCTGCCGCAGATAGTGCACGTCAGTTCAGATTCGGTGCCCGCGTGTGAGCGTGTCTCATCTTCTTCGGACGCTTCTGAGTCCTCGGGCTCACGATGATTGCTGTGCTCATCTTGGTCCTTGTTTGCCTGAGGAGGGACTACCCTCCGCCTTTTAACCTTCCTATTCTTTTTGGATATTGATGTGAGCATCTCATTTGGTGTTCTGGAAGGGGCTCTAGTGGTGCTGCGTTGGTTCCCGCCATCGTCGCCGTCCTCTTCTTCTAGAGAAGAAGCTCTCGAGTTATTGGGAAGCTCAAGCGTTGGCAAAGGGCTAGACTTCTGCTTTTTGGGCTGCGGCTCCCCTTGGCTGGATCTTTTTCGCTTACGCTTGACACCTTGGCTTTTGGGCTCAGTTTGCCGAGACATCCTCGCGGATTCCTCTGATCCGTTCACTTTTTGCGCTGGCAGCTGTGAGCTTAAAACCTTTGCGCAGAGGTGAGGAAACATACCTTCTCCTTCATCATTCTCCTGCGGCATCTCCCGGGAGGGCGAGCTCCCCATCGACCAGCTGAGGCCTTTCAGAAAGGCCGTTCGTCATTAAACGACAGAAACCTGAGGAGATAAATTGGGCAATTATGTTCCGGCTCCAAGAATATTTGGCGGGGATATCAGTGATTGTAGGCTTGGCATTCCCGCTCCGCAGATGCCTTAATAGCACACGTTAATAAATACTCCAATACTATCAGGGCATCGAGTTTGCAGCCTACATACCAAGCTCTTTACAGAATCCATACATCCATTAAGCCCACCAGCCATTGCGCCCAATGGTCCTCCTTACGACAACCCCGTCAATTCTCTCCGCAATCTCGCTCCTCCCCCAAGACTCTCCCCTTCGCAGCTCTCCCCTCTCCTCTGACACCGAGCTTTCCCTCCCCACCAATCTAGACACGCCCATCTCGCACAAGACCCTCATACGCCTCTCCCAAGCCCTTCGCTCCCTCCCCAGGCCCTCCCCAAGAATAACAACAACAACAACAATCAACCCTCAACAAGCATCCTTCACCCTAAACAACCTACTCTACAACACGCGCCCCTATCACCCTCCCGCACCCCCACCACCCAAACCAACCCCCGAATACCTCGCCCTAAAATTCCGCCTGCTCGCCGAAGCCCAACAACGCGAATACAACGCCCTCCTCACCTCCGCTGAGAGACCACCCTCCCTCCTCGATCACTCGTCTCCGGATAGGGATGCTGACCCCATCTCCCCCTCCCTAGTCCTCAACATCGCTCTCTCCATCCTTCTGTGCGCCTTCTCCGTCTTCTATGCCACGCGACACTGGCCCAACGACGGCGTTCGCGTCTTGCTTTCTTTGGGCGCTGGGATTGTCGTCGGGGTGGCGGAGACGGTGGTTTATGCGGCATATACGAGGAACGTGGAGACCGCTAGAAGGAAGGAGGGGGCGAGGAGGGAGGTTAAGAGTGTTCTTGTTGTGGAGAAGGCTGGGATGGGTAGTGGGAAACGAAACGAGGGTGTTAAGGGGGAGGAGGAACAGGAGGAGATTTGGGGGAAAGGGGTCAATGGTGGAGTGAGGAGGAGGGTCAGGGAGAGGTGGGAGAAGGGAGAAAGGAAGCTGGAAGAGAAGATGGAGAGGGTGAATGGGAAGAAGTGAATGGGAATAGTAAAAGGGGTTGAATCTGAAAACCCTATCTAAACCGCTATCGCCTAAGTGTGTCCATGTATGCAAATGCCCTACTCTACGCCCAGCGGATTAAACCCTAAATTCATCCCTCATAATCATAAACCCATCTCGTGAACTAACTCTTCGTCCTCTTCAACCCTTTCACCCTCGGCTCCAGCAATAACCTTCCACTACAGGCCTTGCCCACAAAGCCACCATTCCCAGCCCCTCTCACGAAAACCCTCTGACCTCGTACCCACGTCTCCCTAACCTGACCCCTCATTAACTTTCCCTGATACGGAGAGCACTTGTTCCTAAAAAGCATGGTACTAGGCTCGACAATCCATTCCGCGTCGTCATCGAAAACACAGATGTCGCCATCAAAACCGACGGCAAGCTCACCCTTTTGCTTCTCTAGACCTACCTGGGCGGCGGTGTTGACGCAGCACCATTGCACCAGATCGGTGATTGCGGAGTCTGGCGCCGTGAGTCCTCGATGCGTCATCTCGGTCCACAGGATGGGTAGACCCAGGCCAACGGAGGAGATGCCGCCCCAGGCTGAGAAGAAATTGCCCTGCTCGCTTGGGAGCTCGGGAGTATGAGTAGCGCTACCTGGTGCACAGACGTGCCCCGGGACATGGGAGGGTAGCAATTTGAGGTCAGGCGTGCAGGGCGAGTGGTCAGAGACGACTGTCTTGATGACTCCTTCTGCCGCATACTCCCGCAGTTCCTGCCATAGTCGATCTTGATTCGACTGGTCACGAATTGGTGGACAACATTTGTGTCTGGTGTCGCCTTCTGAGATCTCTTCCGCCGCTAGTGAGAGGTAGTGCGGGCATGTTTCGGCTGTGATGTTGATGCCTTGAGCACGGGCTTTCCGCAGAAGCGGAATGGCTTCCATAGCAGAAAGGTGAACAATGTGGAGGGCCAGGTCAGGAGCCAGATGCGCCAGTGATAGGATCGCTTCAATGGCATAAGTTTCGAAGGATGAAGGCCGCGAGGAAAGGAACGTCTTGTACGCGTTGAGAGGACCATGGGGAGCTAGAGGAGGCAGCGAGGTTTGCACATCGTCCCCAACAGAATCGGTAATGGGAGGGATCATCTCTGCGTGGAACATGACGGTGGTAGGCTCATCTGCCAGTTCAGACATGACTTTTGAGATATCTCCCACAGAGACGGCCGGAAATTCCTTAACTCCGCTATCAATGAGGAAGCCTTTGAATCCTCTTACGCCCTCGCGTACAAGAGGCTTTAATTCTCCTAAGTTTCCAGGAACAATACCCCCATAGAAGCCTACGTCCACCCAGCATTTTCCGTGAGCCGCATTGACTTTCTCTTGCAAGCCTTCCACTGTAGTAGTTGGAGGTATAGCATTTAGCGGCATGTCAATCACGGTAGTCACACCGCCAAACGCGGCAGCCTGTGTGCCCGTATAGAATCCCTCCCATTCCGTCCTTCCTGGCTCATTTAGATGCACGTGAGCATCAACCAGCCCGGGGAGCAAGATATGGGGTGAATGATCGACATATGGAGTACCGAGCGGGAAATCGGATGGCGGGAGGATGGAATAGAAGATCGACGTGACCTTTCCGGTGGTTTGAGATATGACTATGGTAGCGGATGTCAAGCGTCCTGATACGACAGCTCGGGAAGAGGCTACCACTGTTATCGGGGATCCAGTCGAGGGAGTTGCAGTGATGCCACTTGGCGGGGAGGGTGCAGGCGTAGGGTATGCATTGGCCGCTGCGTTGTTTTGATTCATGCTTTTCGAGGAGGCAGTATTTCAGTGGTATTCCAATCAATGCAACCTGATATGAAGAGACGGGAGGCTTCTGGTAGACGAAAGAGGCACATGCAATGAGGAAAGAGGACTGAAAGAACAACAGTTAGCTTATCACGAACGAAGTGATAAGCCGGAACACCTTGTCAATAGTTCAGATGTGCGTAAAACAAAGACAGCCATCCGAAATCTGGGGAAAGCAGACAAAGGAAAGGGGTCCGTCCAAGAGTGGACACCAGGGACAGTATCCATGCTGTTATCGCTCATCCCGGATCCTGATCGAGCACTAACACGAAGCGAGGCGCCAAGTAACCAAACTTCGAGTGTGTGAGATCCATCACGTTGCACCCTGGGAACGGTACTGGGTTGGACATGGATTGACCGGACTGCATGGCAGTCTAGCTGCATCTTCTTACTCGATCAAAACGAGGGAGCGATAAGAGACGGGCATATGTTGACGTTCTAGCTCTAAACACGGGGGTCGGCAGGGCTGGAAGGACGGCAGATTGCGTTGATAGTGCTAGACCAGTGTTGAGGGGAGAAGCGAGCTGAGAGGAGTTGGAATGTGGTTGACTTCCGCAGTTTGCTCAACTGCTCAATCCGATCTCCGCCAAGGATCTGGCCTTATTGGGTCTAGTCTTTAGATAAGACCTCCGGACCAAAAATCTCGCGCAACTATCCATCCACCACGCATCCGCTCGCTATCTACGTAGTACAAATAGGTGACACCCACAACTGCCGTCCTCACCACAAAATTGAACCCAGCCCTGCACTTCAATTCGATTTTCATGAGGGAACCGATAATGCTCTGTGCCAACACGAGAACAGGTGTCCGTAACAGACTCTTCACCAGGTAAGGTACATCAGTCGGCAGACCCTCTGCACACCAACTCATCAGGCGTGAACCAAACCAGCCCAACCTTTTCTTTCCGCTACTGGCGCACCCCACTGCAAGACCAGAGCCTAATCTCAACAAAAGCAAAGTCCCATAGCCAAGGATCAGAATCTCTATCATTTTTCCCATGATCTGGTTCGAAGTCAAGGAGGCGCTAGGCTCTATCTTCCGGTTGCTTACTCGATATTCTTACTCGATTGGAACTCTATGTCTACTTGTTACTCGATGACAACCTCCCCTTTACTCGATTGAAACCTCTTCCATGGAACCGAAATGGAAATCTTTCATCGGTCCCATGTTTCCGTCGCACACAACGTTACTCGATGACAATTTCGCCAGTGACGTGTGTGTTTGCGGTCATCTCCCAACGTACCGTCTCACTACCAAATACCATAAGCAGCTGGTAGAAGGCATGACCACGGGTCATACATTGATGAATCCCAGTAGGGTGCTTAGCGGACCAAGATACTTATGAAACCCTTCCGCTTCTACCCACCTCTGGTCTCCAGCTCTCCATTTCAGAACCTGTCAAATCCAGCAAGACATCGGCCTGTAATTCCAACCACAGGAAGGCCTTCGATTGAGAATGGATCCTATATATCCGTGGATGGCCAGCTCCTCGGAAACCAAGTCGTCCGCCCTCTGACGTCGCTGCCATTCTCCCAAAGTCTCACACTTCCTGCCTTTGGCTGCCCAGTATACGTACTGATTCCTACTGCTAGCTGACAGGCCTTTCCAGCGTTCTACAAAAAGCAAGGCGCAAGAGTTCTGCCTGAAGCTATAACACAATTCTTTGGCAGTTTTCCACTCCGTAATTATACCATGGATGGTTGTTTTTGGGGGAAGCACGAACTCTAACCACTCTTTCTTGCGCCAGACTCTAGCGGTCAACTCCAAATCCTTTGTGTTTGTTACACGGTAAGCTCGCGTAGGGGGTGCTATGGATGGCGGAGGGTCACTGACACCTATAGAACAACTCCTTATGACTGCGGTGGGGATTTTAGTTATCTTACTTACTACTATAGTATTACTATACAAGAGATGAGGGATAAGGGCCTTAACGTCTCCTGTAGAATAGCATCATGGAGGATTCTTGGCTGCACACGTACGGTTCAGATAAACTTGTAAAACTTAAGCTACATTATGGCTGTTGTGCTATGACATCGAGCTGATGATTAGCTCGAAGATGTTGCGGATATTTGGCCTTGCATGAGAACAACTTGAAGCTATGCGACTTGCAAGTGCAATGCCCAAGCTCGAACGTGTCCTCGTGCACGTTCTTCACGTGATCACGAAGCCTCTTCTCAGCTGCAAAAAGCGTTCTATCTTCATAACCTCATTTGTCATATCTTTGGGGTTTCAACGCATGGATTGGACAGATGTGTGTATCAAGATTGCGCTTTGCATTCGCGTTAGTGTACGGAGTATACTTCTAAGCAACCATCGCATGTACAAGCTAATTAGTGCTTTTCTCTTTCATGAATATTCTGTAGTCTGGACGCAGTAGCTGAAGTGAAGTCAGATATCAGGTCCAGGGTAGGATTCGTAGTGAGATTTTCCGGTCGTTCCACATTGTTCTGCAGCGGTACTAGAACAGGAGTAAGAGGGTCTCGTAAGTTTCCGGTCGTTACATGACATAGGATACAGTATTCGTTCCCCCCCCCCCTAGCCTGCGCTGGTGCTGCCTACTATAGGAAGTTAGTAGTGATGGCTGGTGTTGATCTTGCTCAGCCACTCCACCAAATCTGTTTCTGTCTTCAAGATTTGTCTCAAGTCAGAGCCTTCTGCTTCACCATTAGCTGACGCGTAATAAACTAATCTAAATGCAGAAGAAAGATCTCTCTGGATTTTCTGATTGGCTCCTTAAGCTAGCGCCGGCGGCCATAGACTAGTCTAACCCACCGAGACAACTTTAAAATGCTTTCAAGCGAGTCTGGCTGGGCGGACGGGACCAGCTGTAATGCAATGCCAGCTGACTCTATCTCCAGATCAAGCACACTATCAGCATCAGCTTCTTTTCTGAAAGGTGATAACCGAGATTTATAGATGTAGGATTCTGAAATGCGTTCAACGGGCTTGTAAGCTTCTGATCCATCACATCAACAGCATCAGCGTTAGTTAGGCATGACATGATCACGAAGTAGTTTTGAATCAACACTGATGTTACTAGTAGTGCTACTTCACCCGTCCCCAAGAACGGTGCTTGATCGATGTGCTTGGGGTGCTTGACTTGTGTTAGAGGCTAAGACGTTCGGGGCAATTTCTACTGAGAACTCTCGCTCATCCGTTTTGTCGTTGTTTCTGCGTGGGTTTCTTTCGACCCTTTTTCTCCGTCTCAAGCCACTTATCTTGGTTTGGCTTTCTTAACCGTCATGTCGTGGTCCCACATCGCTTTCGTCTGAGAGATCAAGCTCTTTATGCTCGTTGGCACAAGCTTCAATTTATCTGTTTTAAGGCAACGTCTGAAGTTGGATAGGAGAGATGTCAGACAGAGGAAACTGAATATCATTCATTGCTTTGAGACGGGGATTTGGTTGGCGTGTCAACTGGCTCTGTCATGTCACCAATATATACTGCTGTCACTCCACTTCTCCCTACATTGACTGGGTCTCCGGCAGTCTTTGCAACGCCCCGATTGATGACTCCTGAAATTGGCTCTGGAAGATGAGCGTGATGTCTTATCGTTTCAGGTCGAAGATCTTGACTTATAAATATAGAAAGACACCAGCTCCGAGTGCCATACATTGAAAGGGTTTCTTTGGCTGATGGACTGCTAGCGGCTTTAGAGTACTCTTAAGAGTACTTCTAGTGTTTTTCAATTGCAACAAACCCAGGCCAGTCTGGCTTTGACTAGTAGGCGATAGAGCCATATCAATGATGTTGTGCATCACCTAACGCTCCCCTGATAGTAGCGACTCCTTAAGCTATTGTCAGGAATGCTAAGATGGTAAGTATATCGGTGGTCGTGCTCTATGATTCAGTCAACCGAATCCGGAATGCGTTCGGAACGGTATATTCAGAACGGTATATTCGGCAAAGGTATATTCGGCGTCTGGGTCTTGGCGTGACTCCGCAGTAGTAATTTGTATGTAGCATTCCTGAGTTTATCCAACACTCTGATAATCCCACTCTTGCTGTAATCTTAAGCTTGTTGTTACTTCCCAAATAGGTACTGAGATAGATATCCTTGGTGTTGTTATTCTTGCTATGGCTATGTCGCTATGGACTGCCCATCCTGATTGCCCAGAGCACCTCAAACACCTGAGCTCGAGAGGCGTGTGCGCTCCCTCTCCTCCTCCTTCTTGCTGCCCCCTATCGCCGGTGAGGTCTTCATCAATCCAGACGTGTGTCAAGAGCGTCTCCAAGGCTGGGCCTTATCGCAGGGCTTCGCTATCGTTCGAACAAGCGGAAGCGTGAAGCAAGCGCGGCCCCGGTTCGATTTTCGTTGCATACACCATGGAGGAGATACTGCGAATACTCGTAAGCTTGAGGAACACGTTATAAGAGATGAGGAGGGCGCTGTTACAAGTCGTCAAAAGCAGGAGATGACAAGCATTAATGCTCGTAACTGCTTTTATCTTATTTATCTCGCATATAAGCAAATTAGGAAGCGTAGATCTAGCGAATATAGCTTCGTTTTAGGTATCTCTAATAATACTTATAGTTATTTGATGACTGCGAATCTATTAAGATATAAAGCTAAGCATCTTAAAACGCTATTAGCGTTTTTGCCTGCAGTAGAGCTAGGTAAGTCTTTTTGAACAGCTAATGTATCATATTCTGTTGCTCTCAAAGTGCTTGAATAGATTAGATTCCTTTTAGATCGTAGTATCTATTACAATATTTGATCTCGTATTGCCTCTGCTGAACGAAACGAGTTTGCTAGCCTTATTATTGCTCTTAAAGAGGCTGGCTTCATCTTTGAATGCTAGATAAAAGAGGAACTTAATCTGGATATAAGCGAAGTTGTTAATTAATAACTCTAGCAAATCTGGTTCGCTTATCTTAAGCAGATTTAATATATATAACGCTTTATAGCAAACTAGACCCTCTTTGTTAATAGCACGTTTCGTATAAACAAGCTAAA